TTTTGAGCCATTTAAACATTGTGTTAAATTAAAACTTCCTGTTTCACTGGCAGTCCTTTGCCCTTTTCATCAGTCCTGATAAATGATTTTTTTATTTTAGCATGTTTGAACTGTTCATTGCAACTCATAATACCACTTTTTGTGTATAACAAACAATTCTATTTCTCTGCCTACTCACACTTCTGATTAGTTCATACTACGCAATTTTGTCATAAAAAAATCAAAACCTCCAAATAACCAGCTTTTTAATCCATTCTCTTTTGAGAAGCAGTTTTTCTTAATAAATTTTGCTTGCTTGTCCATACTCTAACATGTCCTCTTTGTATTCGAAAATCTTATTTTACTTAATTTTCCTGTTACTGAAAAAGGTGTTGATCTGTATTGCCCTGGATAACTTCTTCAGCTGCGAGAGGGAAAAAAGCACATCTGCCACCCTCTAGTCCTCTGGCATACTGGACGGTTTAAATCAAAGACTGTGTATTTATGTTAGCAGTTCAACCACTCAATCTAAAATTACACTGGAATTCCCTCATGTGCAATATCCCGTTGTAAGTACTTTTCTTCCTTTAATTTATCTGCTTGATCCACTACATTCCCGTTTGAAAATTTAAATCTCTTTTAAATGTTAATGATATTCCTAACATACTCTATCAAGCAAGATAACTTAGGATTTTCAATACTTTGATTCTCCTTAAAGTCATTATTCTTCATTTGGCAGATCAGTAACTCACAGTTTTAGCTTTTGTTGGGTTTTTAGAGAATGTACAAATGACTCTCTAGTTTACATCTATATTCAAATTTTTATTTTGATACAATTGTGTTATTGGTATTCTGAGGAAGTTTCTGCTTCTAGGGAAAGCATTATTTATTTTAAGTGTTTTATGTTAAGAAAGGGAAAGAAACGATTAACCTAGATACCAGTCTGGGCTTCCAAAAGAAAATTAGTTTGTGTTTTGCAATCCATAATGTACAATATCCTTTTAATTTTCCAACTGCATGAATTATATGTTTGCCTAACAAAATAAAATCTCGTCCTAGCAGGCTGATCTATTTTAGATATGTGACCTTTGGACAAAAATGAACTATTAAGTTTGTGTAGACACATCATGGTTTTCTTTTGCAAAAGCTCAGTTTGTACTTGTGTTTTGGGGCAACAGGGAGAAAAGCCATAGTGAAAGCAGTGTGAGTTACGTTCACAACCAATGCTCACAGCAGGGAAAAAAACAGTTGCTGATTTTCTGGTTTCTGGTGGCTGACCATATGTGTAGATCATAGTACCATGGTGCAAACCCTAAATTACACATTCAACATGGTTTCCTTATGTTGTTGCTGGTTTCCAAAAACCAAGTCAAATTAAACAAATTACCAGATAGCAGAGTCCACTAAATTATATAATGACATTGAAATGCTGCCTTTAATAAATGACACACTAGAACTTCTACCCAGTTGATATTCTCTAGGCAGAGGTCTAGAGTTAGTTTGCAGCATCAAGAGGATGCAGGAGTTCAGAAGTATCACTGAGCAGTGCTTAAAGAGACATACAGAAAAATGCTGTACAGTGCTTTTACTCCACATTTTGTTATTGTGGCCTTAGATATAAAGTGGCAATTTTGCATGCTTTGCTTTTCATCTCTATTGTTTACTACCTAGAGTAAACCAGACAAGTCACTCATCATTTCCAGGACAGGTGACAAGAGAGACCAAAGACTGAGAGAGGTTTATTAATATTTGTTTGTAGAGAGATGTTATTTGGATTAATTCTATCTTCCAATTTAAATAGGATTAAAAGGATTAGTTTGAATAATAGAAGCATACAGCACATTATAAATACTTATGCTTCATTTAATTAATAAGTTTGGATATGAACATAAGATACATCAAATTATTCCAGAATAGCCTATAATTACATTATTTTTAAATAATAGAAAAGAAACTCATGAGTCATTAATAAGGAGATGACTTTGGAAAAAAAGCAAACTCATTCAACTAATATAATGTTTTACAAGACACATTTTCTATTTATATGTATAGTTAATAACATCTATTATGCAGGCTTCAACTTAGAAGCCTGTGTTTGCTGAGAAAAGTACTTTAAAACAGTGATTTAATTACATGGTGTGAGAGTTCTTTTGGCAACATCAAGAGGAAGAAAGTCATTTGTGTTTTAATGAAATGTTTTGAAGGAGAAAACCAACTTTAGTTAAGTACTCCACAAGTTTCAAGCTGTAGGAAGAGTACGTGGATTTCAGTTTGTTCTTCCTGATGTATGCCAGCATAAAAATGACTAAAATTATGCTATAGTTACCATGTTATGTAAGATGACTGCACAATTTTCATCTTCCTTATTATTGGTTCTCTTTTTTTTTGCATAACAGAAAAAGTAATGACGTCCTGAAAGTGAGCTGGAGAGTAGAAAAGGTTCATTTTAAACAATCTCTACAATGCTCTTACAGAAGTTTTGTTAAACGAAGCAAGTGTAAGAGGAATACAGGAACCTGATACAAGGATGTAAGATGCATATATCCATTCATATTTTACTTTTTGTTGAAAAATTGACATATCCCCCTATAAAGTGTGTTGAGAACAAGAGTGTCCATGTCCCCATCTCACAATTAAGACAGAGGCAGCAGTAACTCACAAGGATGCAGAAAGAAAGGGGAGCCTGGATAGCAGGATGGTGGTTCTCGCTATGTCCCAACGAGAGGCCAGAAGCAAGTTCTTCACCAGAGCAATGCCTTGGCAGCAACACAATCAGGAGAGAAGAGACCCACTAAGGCTCCCTACACTCTCTTCTGTAGCCACAAAAGAAAATGCAAATTTTGAGGAAAGGATCTGCACCTAGCCTGGGGCAGCTGTTACTCTGGTTAGCCTGAGGGAAGGACATGTCAGTCTCTTATGAAAGCATGCCTGACTGCTGTGCTCATAATGCTGTAAAAGTTTCCCATATGTAGGACCCATAGTGCATCCACTCAGCATCACTCTCTTTTGCACAGACACACCAATTTGGGAATGGAGACCCATATGTTCACATACAGTGAACAGTTCAGCAGTGACAGCTGCTGAGGGGAACTACGGGCATCCCCAGCACTGGGAAGAGAGCATCAGCATCCAACTCTTACAGGTTTCCTGTACAGCACCAAACCTGGCCCTCACCTCCCATCCCAGAGTCCAACCTCGAGGCATGTTGCAGCAGTTCACTCTCTCTTTAGAGGGGCAGCAGATTACAGAAACAAACCCTAGTCTGCCCACAGACCAGCGACTGTGGAGATCAGAGCTTATATAGATAGATATATATCAAATAAGTGTGTCTTGGTTGCTCCAACACATTACACATCTCATTATTCAGCAGTTGACCTTTTATTGAGTGTTTTAACACATAAACCCAGTCTTAGCATAAATAGAGAGGAAAACCAATTAAACTATGTACCTCAATTCCTTTTCCTTAATTCTGGTTTATTTTGGACTCATTGCTTTGGGTTGGATCTTGAGAGGAATATCTTCCAAATTAATTTATGTAGCCACCTCAGTTTCAATTTTTTTTAATGCAAGTTTTTAAATGGTTTTCAATTAAGAATCTCCATTTTAAATTCTTAGGAGTGGATTCTGAATGTAGTTGAACATACATGTATGCAATAGCTATTGAATGTCATGTGTGTATGCAATTGTGTGCTATTTATTTCACTAAAAGTTCATTGGCTTCATGTAAAACACAACACTTGATAAAATGCTGTGGAAGAATGCAAGACTGAGTGGGCATGCACAGATGCTCACGTGGGCACACACACACACATACACGTGTGCTCACAGAATACCCACTTTGCATTTCTAGTATTTCATTGATTCTCAGATCTCACTGCCATGCATTTTTGCATTAAGAACTAAATATCTTTTTAAATTTCTTGGATTCAGGTAGAAGAAATAAATTTTAAAATTATAAGTAGATGATTGTGGCATTCCCATCTACTTTAAATATAGGCTGAAAAGTAGAGAGTGTATGGGGGGAAAATTCTTTGCTGGAAAAAAGACCTACTATGATGTTGCCAAGTTTTAACCCAGAGGGAATTTCTAGCCCTAAGTTATAAATTCCAGAAAATAGGGGCCTATAATAGAAATACTGACAGAACCTTAACTATAGCATAGCTAAAGGCAACACTGCAATAAAATGGAATGACCTGTGAGATAAAATGTTTAATCTTTTGAGTGAGATGTGGCCTAATAACTCAGAAGCAGAGATGGGGGTGATTCAGGCTTTTCCTTGCAGCCTCTTATATGCCCTTTATGAAATCCACTGTCACTCTCAGCTGCTTTCCCTTTCAGGCTGAATCTTGTTTCACTCTGTAGCCAAATGGACTAGAAGGGTCATAAAGAACCAATTTATGGTCCCTAACTGTTAAGCAAAAACTATTTTTCAAAATGTAAATTAATGGCAACAGAAGCGGAAGGATCAGGAAAAACACCTTTGCACATGACACGAATAATAGAGACAGAGAAATGGGAGGTATGGATGTGTGTTAGAGTTTCTCTGCTATTTCTCACTAGTGTCTTTCCAAGACAGTAAATCAGCATTTGAACCTTTCTTTATTTTACTGCAAACAGTTCTGTGAAATTCTTTCTTCTCAAAAATCAAAACCTAACTCTTATTCTTATGTTGTTTTTTATATCACAGGAGGGGTAAATAAAATCTCTGCATATTAAAAGATTTTTGAATTACATTATTGATATTAATTTATATGACATATTTGTCTGTACTAGCAAGTGAAACTGGTCCTAATGACTTAGGAGGTCTTCTCAAATGCTATGTCCAATCAAATAAAGAAAGATATAATCACCAGGCCTGTAGTGATCTCTCTCCGGTCAAAAATCTCAGATAAATTGGAATTTCGCTTATTCAAACAATGCCCTAGGCCAGGACAAGGGAATGCCACTATCATTACAGTGGCAGAGCCAGGTTTATATCTGCAGATTTCTTTATTTTAAATTTTTTGCTCTCCTAGAAGCAGGTAAAAAAGGCCTTCTCTGTCTTGGTTGCTTCTTATTCACTAAATGTTTCTACCTGAAGAAACAAAGTTATATGAAAGTGAATTCTTTGAAAGTTTGCATGTAATTTTTCAACCGTGTACATAAGGAATCATTCTTGTAATAATGATTCCATCCCATTACAACAGCTGGAATCATGTATGTAATTCCTTGCATATCACCCAGAAAATTTACCCAGAGCCTCTAGTCACTTCTGTTCCCCAAACTTCCCTAAGGCCAAAATCACTATGAAGAACATCTGTGCTCTGTTCTTTGGGGATTTCTATTTTATTCTATCAATATTTTCCTTCATTTTAACACATGAAAATTGTAATTAGATATTCCCATACTAAGTATATGGGATCATCTATTGCAGAAGATGCTTCCAGGAAAATCTGGTTTGTAAGTCTCCTGTCCTGCCCGTTGTTATACCTGTCATTTCTGATTCAGTAGTATTTTGCACCTGTCAGTCATAGCTAAATGAGGCACTACATATTGAGGATACATTTGCTTGCTGTCCCAGTGCTTACATTTTGTTGGATTGCCCTGTACTCCACAGGGGTGATTTGAAAACATACTCCCAAATATTAAAGGAAAAACAAAACAAAACAAAACAAAACAAAACAAAACAAAACAAAACAAAACAAAAAAAACAACAACAACAAAAAAAAAATACCCAATGGCATCTGTAAAATGTACAATAGAGTGAGGCTAAAGAGGTTAAAAAATAAAGAGCATTTTCATGCTTTTATATTAACAACAAGAATAAATTTTAAAAAGACTAATAAGATAATTGAAAAAAATGGAGGATCCATCAGCAGTCAGTAAGAGTTCCTACACATACATGTACATATAAGTTTATTTTAATATATATTTTACATATATAAACACCTACATGCAAATGTATATATGTATATATGTTAAAATTTTTTTTATACCTGAACCCCTTTACTATAACTGACCCATAACTAACTCCTATTAGAGATTTCTTTACTCTTATTATACTAATCTCTTCTCTACTTGCCTAGAAGACTCTACTGGACAGAACGTAAGTGGAAGGAACCCAGTTTTTACCATAAGTTCATGCAGAAAAATGGAATTGGTTCTTGTTATACATAAGCAAAAGTAAAACTTTAGCTGTCTGGATAGGAACTTTATTTCTAAAGAGAAACAGACAACATTGAAGCCAAATGTATGCTAAGGTTTGCCATTCCCTCAAATTTCATAGTTTCCAGTGTTGAAATTATGATTTAAAAGGAGTAGATGGACCTAGTTTGGTCAGTATTCTGTGCTTTCTTGCTTTGTGTACTTAAAGTAATGCCAAAAGCCAGTTCTAATCAATGCCAGTGTTTTTATTGCTCAGTTATACAGACTAGTGTGCTATTAATCTGTGAAGATCTGATTGGAAGTGATTTCTGATTTTACCTGATGCAAACACAGAAATACATAATTTATTTGCTTTCAGATTACAGCCTTCAGATCAGTTGTTGCTTTACCTCTTTCTTTCAAATTAAAAAAAAATACACATTTTGAAATTACAATTTAAAAGTATTCAAAAATTATATTAAGATTTTTATCATAGTTGTCCTTTTAATAAAATGTAATCATTTAAAATGTAGACAGTTTGCACGAAAAATTTCTTTGTTGTCTTCAGCCAATCAACTTTAAGTCATCGTACCTTAATCTCAAAGTTCACCTCTAATCTGATATGCTATCCAAATTCTCTCAAAGTGTAATATACAGGTAAATATAACATGCATACATATTGTTGCTATGTGGAAACAGATTATTAATATTGACTTCTATGTCCAGTGATACTTTATTGGACATGCATGACTCTAAAATTACTACAGAAAAATACTGAACTATGGAAATAGATCATAATCATGACAGTTACAGCAGAAAATCTTGTAACTATATTTTGTAAAATTCATCTTTTCAGCAAAGAGCTTGTGCAAGCGTAGCTCAATAAATTTTCTACTTCAGAAAGCAGTTTTTATTAAGGTTATGTGGAATCTTCTGAAATGAACTGTGTATGTGTGTTTGTGTGCACACATTTGTGTGTTACACGGACAGGTTTTCGTATGAGCTTGGCATATTGCTTGTGGCAGGCTGCTGAGACATGAATAAAGACAGTAAGAAAAAGGCAGAGCACATCCTGCTGATAATCTAGGGAAGGGATTGCTGCACACTTCCCTTGTGCAAAATATCAAGGTTTGCCCAGAAGCTCCCAAGATCATTTCCTAGCCCCTAGATTTTCATGTTGAATTATTTGTCTTGTTTGCTAAATGAACTCGCTTCTTATTTTATTTAAACCACATGAGGTAGGTGTATTTGACTTCCTAGCAGGGAATGCAATATTTAAGTGATTTCAGTATGCACAGCTGTGAAAAGGTGAAGCATATTTTGTGAACATAATTTGGGGTAATTTTAAATGGCATACCCTTCCTCCAACTCCTTTCCACAGCCTGAAGCTGGAAACATAAAGTGCAGCTCATATGCTCTTTACAATTTACTCCTGAGAAACACTGACCACAAAAGTCAGTAAACATTCATCATGAGCTTTAGGCTACTTTCCTTGGATTTGGCCTCAGGCTAAGCTGAGGGCTAAAAACATTTCATGAGGGGGTTAGGGTTTTAAGAAAAATAAATATATTGCTAGTACAGCATGGTTACTCAGCTTGGTCTCACGCTGGAAAAATTCCTGCTCCCAACAAATACGCAGAATTTTATGTTATTCGTCTGCCACTCTATAACTGATATTGTGGTTTTAAATCACCAATATGCTAATCAACATAGCTGTTGTGACCTACTTACCACATATTTCTGCCAGAGCTTCCCATAACATGTCACATTGAATCCTCTCTGAGAAGTACAAACCAAATCTACTTCAATCCATTTAGCACAAAGATTCTGGGGAAGAAAAAAAAAAAAAAGAGGAGCACAGCAAAGCGAAAAAAGCTAGGTCAAGTTCTCTTGTTTATCCTGGCCTTCTGTGACATACAGCCATGTTCGCCACTATCTAATGCCATAAGCAATGACATGATTCCTCATGAAAAGGACTACAAATAGGGAGGACAAAGCCCCATCGAATACGATTTTCTATATCACAGAGAAGACTTGGAAGATTCCTCACTAAATGGTTGGTTGTCTTAGTGCAGTTACAAATCTTTTTCACCTAAACAAAGCTTACAAAAAAAGGTTGATGCCTTAAAAATATCACCTTACTTTCTTTTTCTGTTTAGTATTCAACCTGTATCTAAGGAAGTTCTTTTTACTTGAACAAAAAAAAAAACACAACAGAAGGAATGATGTGAATATATATACTTTTAATTCTAGAGATTTTAGTCATGTGTCTATAAGATATTTTAATTGTTCCGGGAGAGTCAAGTCTTGCTTGTTTATTTTTAAGTCTAATATACTTTGGTTTCATAATGTATTATGAATATAGGAAAATAATATATCATGGACTATACTGGTCAATATTAATTTTACTGTTAATGTTCAGTTTAGAAAATAACATCAGTAAAATGATGAGGAAAATGAGCTAGCACAGATTATAGCACAAAGTGACACATCAGATCATTCAATTGATGTTGCTGGGGATGCTCATATTGTGTTTTGAATCACTGTCTAGGATATTACAGGTGTCTACGATTACAGATTTCTAGGATAGAATAATATTATCCTAGATGAGATACAATGCAAGAACTCGAAAATTTGTATCTATAGTGAAGACTTCCAAACACATTTTTACAGGGCATATCTTTAAACCTCCTTCCCCAGACAAACTCTAGCCTAGAGAGTTAGAATATCCTTCCCTGAGTTCTGAGTTTCCACTGCACTCCTGAGAAGTGCAGATTAGAATGCACTTAAACAAAATTTTATAGAATTAGAAATGTTGTTATTGGGTGAAAACTGCAAAAGAATACCTGAAAATAATAATTACAGCTTAAAGCTCAATACATCTTGAAAAAAAAGAACTAACTAATACATGGTTCCTCTCCAAGTAATTTCTTGTTCTGGCCCTGATGGTCAGCCTCGGTGTTGTGGGGTCAAATACTGTTTTCCACTGCAGACATGTGACTTCTAATGAAAAGAAAGAGAGGTTCACTTAGGCAGCCAAAAGCAGAACATGTCTCTCTGTCTCAAATCTCTACTTTAAACTACACTGTAATAATCACAGATGCTCTGCTCTTGGCAGAATGAGAAAAGCTTTATACAGATTCACAAAATAGCTCCATTAAGTAAAGACGCCATCAGTCTTTATTACCACTATTATCATAAAGCAAATTTCACCTAACATAATATCAAATTAAACTTACAAAAGGACTGAGGAAGAAGCTATGAATTAATATAAAATTACTAAGAGCTGAGGCCCAGGGAGCTTAAACCCTAATCAACACCAAAGTAAAGAATAAGAATCAAAGATGTAGAGCACCATGGTAATTTGTTCCTGTGTTGACTACAGCAGCAAAAATAACAGTCTATCATGTCAGCATCTGCTAGTGAGTTTAAATGCCTGTAAGCATAGTTTATATTTGACATTTGTTCAAAGTATCTTTTTTTAAGGAGACAGTTTAATACTTCAACTTTGCCCTCCTAGCTTCTTTTAATTTCACAGGTTATGTCCAACTTCATCATACTTTTTTCCTCTCCTTTTTAAAGACAAACTGTATGGTATATTATTTTCAAAAACGCCAAGCTAATTTTTGGAAAAAGAAAATTGCTATTTTTTAGAAAGACTAGTTCTTTTACTTCAGTGGTCATTATCACAAGATAAATTCCCATATGGCCTAAAATAAAGTTCTAGGATTTTTTGATTTATGGTGCAATTGTCTATCTTGCCCTATTTTCTGAAAAGCAAGTAGCACGCCTTATATCTGGTTTGATTGGGAATGGAAGATCCTTTGAAAGTGGAGGCAATACAAAATCATTTGTGAAACACTGCCTTAGGATTGCATCACTTTCAGTTGCCATTACAGAACTTCAAATAACGAAATTAAGTCATTGTGAGAACATAAACCCTCCTTCAGGACTTTGAATCATAACTAACATTTGTAATTTTTTAAAAATTCATTTATTTAAAACTGGAAAAAATAATTAACAATTTTTTTCCAAAAACGACAAACATTCACTTGCGAATTCAAATGCCTTGCCTAGGAGAAAACATCAAAAGGATCCATATTCTATTCAAGGTCTTCTCAGGAATCCTACCTTTTATTTCTCTGTATCTCTGAAAGCTGCTATAACGGTAGCATGAACAAAAGAAGCAAACTTGGATACTTTAAATTCTATTTTCTACTTGTAGCCCAAACAATGTGCCAACATGTTGGAAGCATTAGCCCTCCATTACAAGAAACTTTCATAAAGAGGAATAAACACAGTTTGGCCTGAACATCTCAGAACACCTTCCACTGTTCAACTATTGTTTCCAGTTACACCCTGGCTGTGTGCTAACCAAGTCACAACTATTTAAACAGATTTTGTTACTCATTTTCCACTCATGAAAAATCAGGTAAGGCAGAGTCCAGTAGCTGACTAAAAATTTTCTGACATAAAGAAAAAGTCGTTGGATAAATTCAAATACGGGGGCAGTGAAGAGCACACCTGTGGGATCTACCACTCACTTTACATTTTGAACACTGTACAATTAATGCACCTAATCATATCAATGTTCATATGCAGGGTTCTTGAGTCTGTGAATGTGATAGACTACCATTTCTCTCATGGAAAACAGCTCTCATGCTATCTAGATTTCTCAGAGTCTTACTAGAGATATTGTATGAAATAATGCCTTGGGATATGATTTTACACATTCCTAGTGTGTTACCTAACTCCATTACTAAGAAAGCACTCTGGCAATCTTCCACTGAAGATGAACAAATATTACAGAGAACTTGCTACATGCCAGACAAATGGCCTTAGCCTAAAGTTCTGCCAGATGAATATGTTGTGTATTAGAGATCTGAAATGCATTTGAAATCCACAGCAAATGTTGTGTTCTCATGATGTGCTTATGATCCTATTTACACAGCCTTGGGAAAAAGGTAACCATGGATTGGAGCCACATAGTAGTATTACCACTATATCTCATCAACACTAAGGTTACCAGGACTGACTGAGACACACAAGTTAGGGATTTCTGAGTCTTAAAATACTACATCGAAAAGCTTCATTGTACTGTCCAAAATTCAGGCCTTCAGTAGAAAGAATGATGAGATTAATGAAAAAGATATCCAGATATTTTCCTCGGGTAATATATTATAAATGTGAATGTGTATTTGCATAAGAAAAATGCTATAGAGATACAAACCTTGAGTTTCTTTTGCTTAACTGAATTTGAATCTTCCAGTGGTTTATTTTTGTTTGGTTTATTTTTTGAAAATGAAAAAGGCAGGTAGAAGGGCAACCAAACCTCTGTCCAAACCTTTCTAATTTATATAGTTTCATTCTCATCCCTAAGATAAACATCTTATGTGACAGGTGTGAAAGTCTTCATAGGAATTGGTGTAGCATCCTGAGGTTTATGAAAATAAGACGCTTCATGTACATCCCATAAAAAAAGAGCCCTTACACATTAACACAAAACTGTGAACTTCATGCTTTGCAATGAAAAAATAAACTTAATAAACTCCAATATAAATAAAATTGACACAATACCATTTCACAGAGTATCAGCTGGGTCATACTTGGTATGGAAAACAAGAACATATTTGAAATGTTGGATTAGCATGGCCCTAGGACAACTCTGTTACATGAAGTACTTTCAGTACAGGCAATCTAGCCCAAGATAGTGAAATATTCTGTCCTAAATCTGTGGCAGCCCTTTGGCAAACCCAGTCCAGAGCTGCAAATCCTGGAAACCTACATCCTGGTTTTGGTTAAACCACAACACCTGCAAAACTTGACAGGCAAACTGTAAAATCTAGATGTAATGGGATACCTTGAGGCTACAACACATTACTAAACCAAACCCTTAAACCACCATTCTCTGGCTCTTAAATCAAATGACATGGTGTGTGTTTACAAAACCAAACTCTTTCCCTCTGTTCTACCATGATGATTTTTAATCCACCACAATGCCCAGTACACTTTCTGTTCCCTGCCTATTGTCATTCCAGCACCTTGCACAGACACTGACTAGGAAAGTGCCGTTGTCTTGGACTAAAACCATGCAAGGAATCTTGCTCACAATTAAAAAGCATGGATGATTGCTGAACAATGCCCAAACATGCGCTCCAGCCTTGTTTAATTTATTAGTATATGTAAGGTTAGAACCACAGAGATGTCAGAGTTTCCAAAGTCTTCAATCTAGAAATGCTGCCTTGAGTCATGAGCATCTACATGATGTACATTCACAACCAGGTTCTCCACCCAGGTAGCAATGTCTTGCCACAATGCAGCAGCCCAGATGAGTTTACCAATACACTGCCAGTTATTCTGCTTTTGTTGTTGCAACCAGTCCTCCAGGGCATTTCTGGCATCCATGAATTGGTATAAAGTATTGGTCATTTTTCAAATTCAGCAATGTCTAAAGCCCACTATATGGCTTTCGCCTCTGCAAACTGAGTCATTTCACCTTCTCCTTCAGCAGTTTCTGTGACTTACATAGAAGACTCCTTACAGCTGCTTTCCATCTCTGACGCTTTCTCAGAAGACAGCAGAATACATCAGTGAACAAGGCATATTGCCTCTCGCTTTCTACTTATTTTTATGTAGTGGAGCTTCTTCAGCACATTACCTCCTCCTCTAGTGTCATTTCAGAATCTTTGCCTTCTGGCTAGTCCATCACCACTTCTAAGATTCCTGGATGACTGTGACTTCCTATCCACAGCACAACCTACTTATTCCACATAGCATCAGTTGCATGGTATGTAGAGAAGACCCTCCCTTTGAACATCCAACCCAGCACAGGTAACCAGGTTGTCAGGAGGAGCTGGCACTTCTGAAACAACTCGAGCCCCTCCATAAGCTGCCAGTATCTTCTTTTCAGTTGGAATATAACAGATTTCAGATACTCTGTATTCCCAACTCCAAAAACTTAAGCGCCAACCTTGAATCTTCCCTGGTACTTTCTGCCAGAGGCTCCAGATAGGACCATTCTCCCGAGCTGCCGCATAGACGGCATTTTTTACATCTTACCCTGTTCAGACAGGGACCAAGGGCTACTGCATGAACTATTTCCTGGTTTTTGTTCACAGGCCTGTAATTGCTCAGGGTCCCATTTGAAATCATTCTTCTTCCGGGTCACTTGATAGAGAGGCCTTACAATCAGACTGCAATTTGTGATGCACGTTCTCCAAAATCCCAAAATGCCTAAGAAAGCTTGTACTTTTTTTCTTCCTAGTTGGTGACAACATTGCTGTTACCTTGTTAATCACATCCACTGGGACCTGGTGACATCCATCTTGCCAATTTATTCCTAGAAACTGGATCTTCTGTGCAGGTCCCTTTATTTTATAACAAAACCAGCTTTCAGAAGGATTTGGGCTGTTTTCTTCCCTTTCTCAAAAACTTCTGCTATATTGCCTCACATGATGATATCATCAATGTATTGCAAGTTTTCCAGAGCTTCACCCTGTTCCACTACAGTCTGAATCAGTCCATGGCTGATGGTTGGGTGAGGTTGGTTACAGGCGTACTGAACATCCCTTCAAGTGAAAGCAAACTGTAGCCTGCACTCTGTCACCAAAAGGACTGAGAAAAACTCACTAGCAATATCAGTGGTGGAATACCACTTGGTTGCCTTTGACTCCAGTTCATGTTGAAGTTCCAGTATGTCTGGTATGGCAGCACTCAGAAGCAGCATGACTTCATTCAGGCCATGATAATCTACTGTTAGTCTCCATTCCCTGTTAGATTTTCACACTGACCATATAAGGCTATTAAAGGGTGAATGGGTCCTGCTGGTCACTCCTTGGGTCTCCAGTCAATGGATTACTTTATGGATGGGAATCACAGAGTCTCAGCTGATGAAATACTGCTCCTGTGGTAGCAATCTGCACCTGCTGTTTTCAACCTTCAGCAGCCCCACAACACAAGGGTCATCCAAGAGACCAGGTAGGGTAGACAACTGTTTAAT